GGGCCGATAGAATAGATATTTTCATACTTATGACACAATATGATACTTATATAAATATAATGCTGCATTTTAAATATTTGCAGACTAAAACAATTTGTTTTGTGGCGATATTTAGGGCGACGGTATCTCAGTTGGTAAAGCATTGGCCTTTGAGCCAGAAGGTCGTGGGTTCGAGCCCACCTCAAGACTTTCACCATCAGCTCCCACTGTCTGCTGTCGTTGTGTCCTTAGGCAAGACGCTTCACCCCCATTGCCTAGAATGAGTCTGGTGTGTGTGTGAATGGTTGGTGGTGGTCGGAGGGGCCGATGGCACATACTGTACTGGTCGCCTCGCTTCTGTCAGTGTGCCCCAGGGCAGCTGTGGCTACAGTAGTAGTTTATCACCACCGTGTTTGGAGTGAATGAATAATGACATGTAAAACGTCTTTAAGTGTCCAAAAAACTGCAATATAAAACCGATGCATTATTATTATTTGTAACTCACAGTCGGAAAATTTTAAATAAAATGATAAAACTAGATAAAAAAAAAAAAGGTCATTAAGTGAAAGTTGCCTTATGACACAATACTGGAAAACCTGTTGAGTGCTCAAACATACGCAATCAATAAAATTCTTCACAATTCTTGTACTACAAATTTTTCCAATTATGTTAAAATACTGAAAATTATGCTCCACTGGGTTGGCGCTGTAAAGGGAAGGCGGCTAATACAAAACCTCATGCTTTTTTTTTATGGTATGAATGGTAAATATTCAGTTGAAACTATTCAGTGAAAATATTGTGAATTTATCGTAATTATGGAAAGCCTGTTGAGTGCCATTGCTCAGACATATGCAGTCAATCAAAATCCTCACAATGCTTGGACTAGAAAAGCTCGAAAGCCAGAGTTGCATCAGGATCCAACAGCCCCTCTTCTCATGCTGGGTCATTATGCTCACATCCTCTTACTATTTGCATATAGACAGTCTCTCCAAATACCTGTAGTCAACAGCATGCTCCGATCCATTTGCCTCTCATATTGGTTTGCATACTCTCACCCTCCCGCTTGCACAGACAGTCAGTGTGATTTGTTTGTGACCTCTAAAACTTCTTTGTGTTACTTCTATCTCTTCAAAAATGCGCCCAATGCCCAGGCAAATATCTTGAGAGGAGGCGTGGGGAGGTATGGGGAGGGGGGGGAAGAAGTCACTCGTATACGCACGCCTTGCTTTGTCCGCAACATGGGCAATGGACAAGGTGAATAGGAATTACCCCCAGGACCTTGCCAGGAACCTTCGCAGCTGACACCGGTGCCCTACCCCAACGACATCTAGGAACCCGCGGTGTCTATTGCAAAACATGCGTGTCCTTTAAAATGTAATAGCGCATTTCGAAATCTGCTACACAAAGCACATTCTCCGAAACGGCGGCGTGTCCATTTAAGCAAACGGCTTCGAATGATGGCTACAGGTCAGGAGAGCTTTTTAAAATACATCAGGCTTGCTCTGTCTTCGGACTGGGGCGACGCTCAAGGGGGGGAGGGGAGTTTTTGAAGGTTGACCTGTGTCGTCCGGTGTCCTCGGTTTCATCCACCACAGCCGCCCGGAGTCGCCGTTGGCTTCCATTTCCAGATATTAGCTTTTTTTTGTTGCTTTTTTTGAACATGATTAATGCCACAATGGGGTGGAATCTGTTTAGGAGGAAATGGTCACTCTCTCTTCTCTCCAGCGTTGTCCAGTTTTAAGTGAACTTCTCTGCGAGGGTTGATGACCTTCGAGTGAGGAGGGGGGAGAAAAAAAAGAAACAAATTAAAGGTACAATGTTGTCTTCGGGTTTGATCTGCGAAGGGAGGTGATGTCAAGGACGGGGGCCGGATTGGAGTGTGCACAGGCTGCTTGGCCCACGTAGTGTTAGGGGATGCAAACAGAAGAAGGACCCAAAATGTGTAGAACTCACACACAAAAAAACACAAAACTCAAAAATAAAAAAGTGCGGGATATAACAGAACTCCAAACTCAAACCATGACAAATTAGGGGCAAAAACACATTGGACCAACAACAAGAGCAACTGAACAGACATCAAGTAACACTGAAAAGAACCAATTTATCAGAGTAAAACTCAAAAAGTCCAAACCAGGCCTGTTAAACCCAGGCCTGTGGGCCAAACCCGGCCCGCAAGACCATTTTTTGTGGCCCCTGATATGATTTTCAATTATAATTTATGCCACTTTTATACTCAACCAGCTCTTATGTAAATTTGGCCCCGACAAAAATACATGCATGTGAAAACTAGTGATAAAATAGTTTTAGAGCTCTTGTAGTGTCAAAGTTAGACATCAGGATTTAGATCTACCTTTACTCAGTTGATTTTAATTTGTTGGTGTGACTGATTTGCCTTGACTCTTGCCTATTGTGCTCTCCTGAACCTATTGCAAAAGTGTAAAATATTGTGCTTGTTTTAAAAAATGTGTTGTGTGTCGTATAATAAAACAAATCAGGAACCCATACATTAAATCATCGTACATATATTCCACATGGGAGTTTCAGACCTGGATAAGTCTAGACAGGGAGCTCCACTGGGAGGTTCCTCTGGTCCCAAAAGGCTTGACTGTCTGAGCATTGGGCCAAAGAGTCCTCCAAGCACACAGCCTTTCTTCATTTTTAATATACCACAACGGATGAGTGATTTATGTGTCATTTCTGTACCATTTTTTAAACAAATCTCAGATGTTTTCAGAAATCTCCGTATATAGCACATTTAATTGTGCTGAACAATAATGAAAACACATACACCACGGATGAAAAATAAACAATACGCAAATGTACAGTATGTTTAGTTTTATTAACTGCAATCCAGCTCGAAAAGGAGTGGGAAGAAGTTAAGACTAAGATTAAAAGAACTGGGACAAATCTCTGAAAATGCCAAATTCCTGTGAGAAAAAATGCATTTCACGAAAGATTTTAAAATGCTAGAGTGTGATGTGATGTGCAAGGGACCCACCATAGAGAAGGCCCTTTTGCCTCTGGTCCTCAGCCAGGATCAAAAAGCTCTTGACGGGACATTTTAACTTTAAACAAAAAACGTTGTAAACTTTTTCTGCGGCCACGTTGTATTGAAGCACTTTTTTTTGACATGTTGACTTTCTCTTATCTCTCTTATCGTAAGCCATCAAAATTAGTTTCATAATTTTTGTTGAGATACAAAAAATAGATGCACTTTTGAACAATTATCATATATTCTCTCATAATATATCTTCTGACTGGTGAATTAAATTAGACTTATAGATAGCACTAGTTTACAACACATGTCTCACACTAACGTTGCGTTGTACAATATCGCAGATCAGACTGAGGGGTTCCAAGTGGACGTATTTTTAAGAGCAGAGGTGTTTTTTTCTGTGTATACACCCTTCCCCAAACTCCTCCAACCTCGAGCAAAGACAAAGCACCTAATAATTACCGGGCGGCCAGACAATCCTGCAGCTTGTGGCACACGAAGAGCACGTTGTAGCTATCACAGTGGCAGATAAATTCAACGCACAATTATTCATCCTCCGACTATGGCATGTAGATTAATGAGTTTGATAACCCAGAGCTCCAGTCTGCAGACGCCATGCTCTCCTCGCCGTCTTTTCTCTTCTCTGCCTTCGGAGAGCTGTGGATGTTTGGGAAGCACAGTGATAGCAGGTGCAAGGAAAGAGTCAGTGTTGGATGGATGCTAATTAGACTTGGAGCTATTTTTATTTTCTCTCAATGATTATTATTATTATAGTTGTATTACATGCTGTAGACATTGGTCAGGGATTTCTGCTTTGCAAATGGGTTGAGAAGTGTTATTATTTGATGTATAGATAAAGATGAAGGGATCTTTTATTTGTTCTGCAGTGGGGAAATGTCAGTGTTGCTGGTTACACAGCAGTAGGAATGAGGAGCACGCAGCACAAGATAAATTACCAATAACTCTATAGGAAAATAGAATAAAATCAAACCTACAGCTTTAGCATAATGAAGAAGCAAGAATTAGGTGCGAAATCTGCAAGTTTATCAAAAGAAATGATTATCGCGGGGGTTACGTTCTCTAAACCCAAATAAGCAAAATCCGCAAAGTAGCAGTGATGTGTTTTAAGGCTGTAAAACCCCTGACCTCACACTTTATACACTTTTCTAACCACCAAAACTCAAGACTGCTGAAGTGCAATCGCTGTGATATCAATCCTCTGTTGCTTTTTAGGTCTGAGCGCTGCTGCAGCTGTCAAAAGCCGTACAGACACAGTCAAATACAGCTGTTCTGGGCTACGGGAAGGCGGCAGTATAGTACACTGAACTACAAGCCACAATAGTTTTCTTCTATCTTTAAATAACCAAACAGGTGAATGGCACATATACAGTTCTCATTGTACAGTCTGACAGCAGCAGGATGGAAGGACCTGCAGAACCTCTCCTTCACATAGCGAGGGACAACTGTAATACTCCCTAATAAATTACAAACTTCTTCGAGTAAAAAAGAGTTTATTTTTGCCAAAAACATCTCAAACATTTGCAAGATGTTTTATGTCTTGTCTTACTCTCTTTCAACACTGAGTTGTGTGGTTGTTTTGTTTTTTTTATTGTTTTTTGTATTAAGTTATATTTACTTATTTTAATTGTTTTATTGTATTTTAATTGTTTATTTTATTTTAAATGATTTTATCTTATTTTAAATGTTTTCATTTGAATTGTCTTTATTTTATTCTAATTGTTTTAATTTTATATGAAATGTTTTTATTCTATTTTTATAGATTTTTATTTTTATTTTTTATTTAAAGCTGCAGACTTTATTTTTGTGTGTATATTTGTATCTGTTACTTTTTTTCTGTGCAGCACTTTGGATAAATGTGCTATATAAATAAAGTAGATTGGATTTGATTTTGGTCTGATTGTGGTCTGAATTGTTCGCAACATGTATATTTTTCAACTGAACCAAACCACATGAATTTTTTATTTATTCTTTTTAAAACCGTGCCCTGCCCTTAATGTCATAGATATCAGATGAGCAAATAGAAGACTCCTGTGGGTTCGCCTGTTTTCCTTGGATGCGAGGGAGTCTGTACCTCTGAGCTGGGATCACAGGGCAGGGCAGTGTTGAAGGGGTCTGTCCCAGGACGCTGGTAATGGATGGGGGGAGAGAGAGCCTTCCCAGATGGCAGCAGAGGAGAGGACGACCTACACAACAACTAACAACGGGACAACAACAGCAGCAGCAGCAGCCCTCCAGAGGCCCAGCGGTCTGAGGTCCACTATCGGGGGGCGCTGTGTCATTTCAAAACATGAGATATGATTCATTTACCTTTTTTACCTTTTTTATTTGCTTGTTTCAAGGCATGACAACCAATGGCAAATGACAATGGAATTAAAAGACTTTTACATCCATGACATGTTAGTGCCATCTGAACTGGCTCGGACTCTGAGGAGCACAGGGTCTGGCCTCCTGCTGGTGCCCAGAGTCAGAACTAAACATGGAGGGTCTGCATTTCAGATTCACACAGCTATAATCTGGAACAGTCTTCTTGAATATGTAAGACAAGCTACTACTCTAACAATGTTTAAATCCAGGTTAAAAACATTTTTGTTTAGCTGTGCATACAACTGAGAGATTTTATCATCACTCTGTGTAATATACTGTGACTATTTATGACTTTAATGCCTTGTGTGTCTTCATCTTGTTTTGTTCAGTACTTGCCTTGTGTATGAATTGTGCTATACAAATAAACTTTCCATGCCTTGTCTTATTTTTTACCCAGTGGGGAACTTTGTACTCAGCATTTGACCCATCCTGCAATGCCACTAGGGTGTCTCCAGATGTTGATGCTGGAGGATTTGACCTGTTGTAGTTATGAGTGGTAGGGGAAGCCGGAGCACCCAGAAGTAACATATGCAGACGCAGAGAGAACATGCAACTCCACTCAGAAAGACCAGGATGTTCTGACTGGGAATCGAAGAACACATTTTCAAAACGGAGATAACGATTTTTGCGAATGAACTCATCAAATACGAACCAGCACTTGCTCCAAGCTGAGATTGTGAAGTTATGAACACCAAGAATGTACATTAGCGGTATGGTAGTGGATAGCACTCTCGCTTCTCAGCAAGAAGGTCCTGGGTTCGTATCCCTCCGGGTGCTCCAGTTTCCCCTACCACTAAAAACATGCACAATAGGTTTACCCTCCAGCTCCAGTCCTGACTGAGCCGAGCATCAAAATCTGGAGATGGATTTCCGGGCGCTGTACTACAACGACCACTGCTCCGGGTCAGAATGGGTCAAATGCAGAGTTTGAATTTCCCAACAGTGATAACTAAAGTGCACTTTACCTTTACCAATTACACTTCCAAAATGAAAAGCCGTCAAATCAACTGTTCTGGGAGTTCTTGTGTTTAGGTGGAATGAACATCAGCTTGAGAAAAAAAGACTATTTCTAATGCATTTTACATCAAAGACTAAAGATGTCGTGATTGCATCCCTATTTTTTTGCCATGGCGAACAATAATCCAATAACCACAATCTCAACCGTGTTTTATATTTGCGGGTGTACAGAGGAGGGGTTCTCTGAAGGGGTCATCTAAAAAAGTATCTCTGCTAATGGACTTGAAGGACTGGAGCCCTGCGACAGCCAGGTTCCTACCGCGGACCCCGACGCAAGAGAATCTCCCGACGCACACGGCTCTGTCAGACACACTGTTTAGAAGCGAAAAGTGCAGCCGCTCCGACTGGCAGCCAGACGTTCAGGAATAAAATGGAGTGGCATTAATATTAATACAAGTAAAGTGCCTTCATAATCAGACAGTGGGTTGTCAGCTGGCCAAGTGGGGCTGTGGGTATGTCACACACACACACTTACACACACACATACACTCACAGACACACACATACAATGAAGTGCTGACTTAGGCTGTGCGCGTCTGTCTTGCATCTGTGTGTAGTAAGCAGAAATTTACACTCATGTATGTTGTTATGGTTGTTGGTCTTGGTCACTTAAAAGTTGTAGCATGTCTGAAATTGTCTTGGTTTCATAAATAAATGTTGGTCTTGATATGTAGAGCGCCTTTCCTAACACAAAGCACTTCAAAGTCCACATCACACCAGGCACAAATCATCTCACCAAACACCAAAATTAAAATCACAAATAATTAAAAACATCAAAATAACACAGGTAATTAAAAATATTAAAATCACAGAAGGGATTAAAATGACAAATGACCAGAGTGTATTCAAAACAGAGATACAATTGTATGCACAGGCAAACAGAACCGTCTTTCACCTGGATTTAAACATTGTCAGAGTGGGCGCCCTCTAACATTTTCAGGCAGACTGTTCCAGATTTTTGCTGCAAAGATCTGAAACGCTGCCTCCCCATGTTTAGTCCTGACTCTGGGCACCAGCAGGAGGCCAGTCCCTGTGCTCCCACTACTATTATTATGGGCCTTTACCAAATGGTTGAGAAGCATTTTGATGGGAACAGTGCCTAAAACCAATTGAGATGCCCCAAAGAGGTATATTTCAGTTCCAATCATGCTTCAAGCAGATATAGTGACTCAAAAAGTGGTTGTGGAAACTAATAAAGGGTTTCAGCCATGTACCACTTGAACAGGAGTCAAACACTTCGCTTGGGGGCACGTCACACCTTGAACATACTGAAAATGTGACTACCCCGGGACAAGACCACAGCGTACACATGTACAATATCACAAATATACTTTTCTCCTTATGTTCCTGAGCAGATATCCCCCGTCCGTCCACTACACGCACACTACTACTCCCCCGGTGGGAACAGGGCCGGACGCGGAGGTTGTAAATAAAATGCGGGCTGATGTTTCCAAAGAGGGTCCGAGGGGAGAGCGGGGGGTCCATAGCGCTCGCTCCATAAAACAGTGAAATACAGTGAAGGTGATGGCAGCAGAAGCAGGAGCTCTGAGCATTTCCAGATGGAGCCGACCACCAGAACGCCCAGAGCAGGCGAGGGGGAGACTCTTCAAATCCACAGTCCCCGTGGAGGCCTTGCAGAGGATCAGAGGCAGTGAATGTGCGACTGAGCTCTGAGGAAAAAACCCTAGACTGGTTTTTACACCATGTATTTGTATTTGTGTGTGTATTTCAGAATCATTTTTTTTTTTCAGAATCATTTTTATTGCCACGTAAGTAACAGGAGGTCACAGACTAGGAAATTGCTTTGGCTCAGTGCAACAGTCAAAAAGAGATAATAAAAATAAGAATAAAAAACACTTCTAAAGAATAAATTTAAATTTAAAGTAGAGTTACAGTTACTATTTACAATATACAAGTGCACATGGTGCACACAATGTAAGGTGACAGCAGTACAGTGAAGTAAAGTGACGTATGATGGGCAGTAAAGTGACTTTATAAAGGGCGGGGGGACAGGTTAAGAAGTGTTCAAGAGTCCAACAGCAGAGGGGAAGAAACTGTTCTTGTGGCGGGAGGTTCTAGTCCTGATGGACCGCAGCCTCCTGCCTGAGGGGTGGTTGGAATAGTCATGTTGGAGGGGAGTAGTTGGAATGTCCATGGTGAGGGTGAGGGGGTCGGCTGTGATACGACCAGCCCGGCCTCGAGCTCGGGCGACGTACAGGTCCTGCAGCGATGGAAGGCTGCGGCCGATCACTTCCTCTGCAGAGCGCACAATGCGCTGTAGTCTCTGTTTGTCCCTGACTGTGGCTCCAGCGAACCACACGGTGACGGAGGAGGTGAGGATGGACTCGATGATGGCCGTGTAGAACTGCACCAACATCTGTGCAGGCAGCTTGGCTTTCCTGAGCAGGAAGTACATCCTCTGCTGGGCCTTCTTGATGAGGGAGCTGATGGTCGGCTCCCACTTGAGGTCCTGGGTGATGGTGGTGCCCAGGAAACGGAAGGACTCCACAGAGGTGATGGGGGAGTCCATCACGGAGGGTGGGGGTGGGGGGACAGTGCTCTTCCTGAAGTCCACAATCATCTCCACTGTCTTCTGGGCGTTCAGCTCCAGGTTGTTACCACTGCACCAGGACACCAGGACATTTGGACGGGGCAGTGCGGATTCATGAGCACAGTAAGTAGTAAGTATATATACCGCCTTTTCACTGCAGAGCTGAGTCTCAAAGCAGTTTACAATTGTTAATTTTGGGCATTTGTCTCTCACTCCACACAGAGATGGGAGCGGGGGCACCAGTACAGGAGGCGCATGCCAGAACTATTGGACATATTTTTAGTGGTAGGGGAAACCGGAGTACCCGGAGGAAACCTACGCAGACACGGGGAGAACATGCAAACTCCACTCAGAAAGGCCCTGGTCCGACCGGGATTCGAACCCAGGACCTTCTTGCTGAGAGGCGAGAGTGCTATCCACTCAGCCACCGTGCCGCCCACAGGATCTATATACATAGCTACACTGTAAAACAAGATAAAATATGAGGAAATAATTGCTTGAATCGAGTGTTGTTTTTATCTTTTAGAATTTTAAAATAAGATTTGCTTATGGGACAAGCCAATTAGTCCTGAGGCCAGTCCCTGTGCTTCTCAGAGTACCAGCAGGAGGCCAGTCCCTGTGCTCCTCAGAGCCCCAGCAGGAGGCCAGTCCCTGTGCTCCTCAGAGCCCCAGCAGGAGGCCAGTCCCTGTGCTTCTCAGAGTCCCAGCAGGAGTCCAGTCTCTGTGCTACTCAGAGCCCCAGCAGGAGGCCAGTCCCTGTGCTTCTCAGAGTCCCAGCAGGAGTCCAGTCTCTGTGCTCCTCAGAGCCCCAGCAGGAGGCCAGTCCCTGTGCTTCTCAGAGTCCCAGCAGGAGGCCAGTCCCTGTGCTCCTCAGAGCCCGAGTTGGTTCATATGGTACTAACATGTCACGCATGTACTGATGTAAAGTCTATTCTCTGAGCCACAGGAAGCCAGTGCAGAGAACTGACAACTGGACTAATATGGTCATACTTCCTGGTCCTCGTCCTGCCTCAAGCTGCAGCGTTTTGAACATATTCTAACTGTATTACATCCGTCTACTCTTTCACAGCTGTTTTGCCGGCTGTAGCAATAGTCCAAACTACAACAAATGCAGAAGAATAAGAATCTTCAAGTCTGCCTTAAACACTATAATTTTGATTCTGAAAATGTGTTTTAGATGGTAAAAAGCTACTGATATTACTGATTTGATGTGGCTGTTGAAATAATGGAGATAGAGTGAATGTGACTGATAACACTGCCTTTTTGTTTTTGTGCTCCAAAGACATCAAAAATAATAGACTGATTTCTGATTCTTCTGATTCTCGAACATTACTTTTTTCTGCAACAATACAAACCCGAGAATGCAAACCGTTATTGTGATTCGAATTTTCTTGCTGTCTTAAGATGACATTTAGCACTCTGTATACATTTGCCATTTACAGTGTATTGTTGTATGTTTAGCATTAGCGATTTAGCATGAGCCCTCCAAAGTGAAAATAAATTGCCCATGCTTCAATGTTGAATGGCAATAAAAAGTGAGAACATCCATTGGGGCTGACTATTTTACATGCTGCGTATATCATTTATGGAAGCCAGTGTTGACCTTGGCGCACTCCACGGCTGCAAATATGTTTTTCTAATGTGAGATTTAGGACAAAGACAGTATTTTTGCTGGTGTTGCTGATTGAGTGTCTTCTCAAAAATGGTGCAAAATGCGAGTCGTGTCCATTTTAGCCTCACCTCCACTTAGCGTTGAAATCCTTGCATACAGTTATCCAAGGTTTAGAATTGATCAGAGAAGTTTAAAGGTGCAGCATGTAACTTTTCATATTAGTGTCTCAAAAAAATTTCATTGTTCAACCATGAGGCATATTCCCAATTAGCAAAAACTTGCGAGGCCAAAGTTCATATGGGACTAACATGTCACTAATATATTTTGGTGCTAGGCCATGGAGAGATTTGTACACAAGCAGAGCTGTTTTAAAGTCTATTCTCTGAGCCACAGGAAGCCAGTGCAGAGACCTGAGGACTGGACTAATGTGGTCGTACTTCCTGGTTCTAGTCAGGACTCGAGCTGCTGCATTTTGAATGTACTGCAGCTGTTTTACAGCCTGTTTGGACAGACCTGTGAGCAGGCCATTGCAGTAGTCTAACCTACTGGAGACAAATGCATGGATAAGAATCTCCAAGTCTGCTTTAGACACTATGTTTTTGATCCTGGCAATGTTTTTTAGATGGTGAAAAGCTGCTGATGTTACTGATTTAATGTGGCTGTTATAAAACAACAAAACGAATACAATACAAGTGACTTACGGGACAATGCATAATGACAGCCGTAGAACAAGAGTGAAGCTTTTATTGTCAAAGTTTGAGCAGTTGCTCGTGCTGCTTTTCCATTATGAAGTTGTTCTTGTTGCAAAAACCTGTTTGAAAGTAGAATATTATGTATGTATTTATTCGTAGTTGTTCTTTGTTGATGCAGCAGGTCTATGGACAGTGCTGACTCAGGAAATGCACATTTAGGAACAGTTAGGACATTGGTCATCCCACTGCCTGTGTTTTTGTTATTATTGCATTTTCTTTGTTTCTGTTTATTTCTATGAACTGTTGTTGGCAAATCGACAAATTTTTTAAGTCCTTTGAGACCACTCTTGTTGGGAATGTACACAATTAACTTGAATTGAATAGTGCTGTATTGATCAAGATTTTTGTTCACGCAAATATTCTAATCAACAAAAGTTATTTGCTGTAGGTCACTTTTGTTTCTCTGTCAATGCAAAGGCTCCCTAAAAGTGAGGAACACGTTTGCATCATTTAGATAAGTTAGCCTTTGTATATAATTAGTTGTTTTAGTCTTGTCAGCCAACAATCCTTAAATGGAAAATCTCATGTTTTAACTTTACGCTGTGTTGTTGTAGGAATCTCTGTAAATTAGTTTGAGGTATGAAGATGAAAAAAGAAATATCAGCAAGGGAGAGGAGAAAATTATAACATTTTACAATATCCAACTTTTTCTGATAGCTTCATTTACCATAACTACTTATAATCAAAATAATGATTCTGATAAACCCCATCCTTGTTAATCACACACACTCTTTGATTGGCCCATAATTCGTTTACTACCAAATAAATGCATATGCCGTTTGATAATCTGTTATTTTGCCAAACTAATTGCAATATCTTTTTGAAGGACTAGCTTTCATTATTTAAAAAATCCAGGTCATTCGCACTAATCACCGACTTTGAGAGCACAATATGGCGACATTAAGAATTTCTAATAATAGCAGCCTGAACATTCTGGTTGGCTGCTTTTTATTGCTTGTTATTAAATCCGGGCAAAACAATTATTAGCGTTATAATATTTTTTTCTGGTGTTTGCTGGTAACAAAAGAATTAAAAGGGCGCCCCGAGGCTGCCAGTCCTACTGTAGTGATTAAAAACAGGAAATTGTAATGCATAAGCGATTAGACACAGGCCTAATAAGATTAATTCATTTCCTTTTTCTGGGCTATAGGAGTATTCTTAAAGAGATACAGGCGTGAAAATACAGATGTTACATAGTTCAGCTCAATATGCAGAGAATACTTTAGCGTGATTATTTACAACCACTTCAGTTTAATCCATTGTAAAGTTTTAGTGGAACAGCATTTAAACTGACATTTTGTTGTATATCCATTTTAGATTGCACCAATATCTTTTATATGTATCCCCAAAAACAGGTCAGTATGTACAAATCATGTGACCTTTTTATGAACAAAAGAGGAGTTTAAAGTTAAATAGTTTTACTTAATGCAAAATACAATGGGGTATATAATAACAACAATACAATCTTCTTGACTTGAACATACAGATGATGTTGGTGACAAGAATGAGGATAGACAGTAATGATTTTAAACAATCCATCCATCCATTTTCTCCCCCTAAATCCATTACTGGGTCGGGGGGGACACAACGACCAATGCTCTACCAACTTGTTGTTGTTAAAGGGACTGTGCTGTATGTGTATGTAGATGGGGTGTCTTTCTTCTTCTCACTCTATTTCAGATCTCTATAGGGGTGAAGGAAAATGTATATCTATGTATTTATGTCAAACAACTGAATCCTGTATGAACCTGAAAAAAATAATTAAATAAAGTGAAAACTGAAAATCTATCCACACATTCCAACTCATCCAGCATAGTCCCGAGGTGTTCCTAGACCAGCCGACAGACATCGTCCCAGCGGCGTGTCCTGGGTCTCGGTCCAAAGCTCAATCTCACGCTCCATCCTTCCCTCACTCGGGACAAAGACCCAGAGATACTTGAACTCCTTTTCCGGTTGAGCACCATGGCCTCAGATTTGGAGATGCTGATTTTCATCCCGGTTGCTTCACACTCGGCTGCAAACCGCCTCAGTGCACGTCGTTCCTAGTTTGTACCGACAATCTTAATCAATCAAAATGTAAATTCAAGTCTTGTACAACCCAATTTCACGGAACAAAAAGAAACTTAGTTTTGTACACAGCTTTGGAAAGGGGTTGGATGAAGCGAAAGATTATACAAAAAAATACTGTTGTTAGCTCATATCTACTGTATCGGAATGAATGTGTCCCTTGAGTACACATAATGGTATTCCCGTTTTTTTATTTTTTTATTCAGCCCCAATCAAAACGACAAAATGACACCCCTGGCCAAATGGAACAGCTAAATGCATTTTTTGTCACATAAAAGCAGCTCTCCATAGCAAAAAGTTCAGATTCAGATTCATTTAATTTGCCATTTGCAGTAAACCCACATTGGAATACATGTGCAAAAGTCCTCAGAGTGAACCAGACAATATATAAAACAAGGTTAAAAGTACAGGAATAATAACTTACTGTAAAACGAAAAACAGGAAACAATTGTTACTGTGAAATCAATCGACTAAAACAGTTTCTGTACACTTGGAAAAGCATTTAAAGTGCCTTGTTTAATCCGATAGTAGCTTGGGGAAAGAAGCTGTTACTTTCTCAGCAAACAATGTATTCTGCCAGTGGGAAGAAGCTGGAACAT